TTTGGGGGGGAAAAGTCCATTTGCCTTTTGGGTCAATCAAGACCTGGATGATGGAGAATCTCTGTAGTCATGTAGAAGGCCTAACTTTCTCCAAATTGTGTCCTTCCTGCTCCGTCCCTGATTATTCCTCGCCAGATGGCCAAAGGGAATTTGGATAATTTTTTAGTGTGAACCTTTCTGGAGGCAACAGATTGCGAGAGGTTAGCTTAGAGCTTCTGAGGATTTGGAGAATTGGTCACAATTCAGCTCAGGCCTCTTGAGTCGTGTTCCTCAAAGGCTGCATTCATACAACAGGTTTGACCAGGTTAGTTACACATCTAGTAACTGGATGAATTTGCAAATGATATTGGGAGATTCATTAACAGACACCCTAACTAACACTAACTAGCATAAGCGCATCAGCATGTCTACCGTCCCTGTCTTACTGTCCCCATTTATCTGTATTTACTTCCTTTGTTTATGTTTATGTTCACACCTATACTTGTTATCTTGTACACGTATGACAAACGAACAAAACAAAATAAAGTAAATAAAACTGAGTTTAATACTCTGTACAGGGCAGTTTCTCAGGTTTCCAGGTTCTACATGATTTATATTTATATGCCACTTGTCAAAGCAGATGCTTTCTGAAGTTGGCCTACTTGTCCAATATTACTCTGTTTTTCCTGGGAGCGAGGTTAAACAAGCATGACCTTCCGAGTCCATGGGTAACACCAGCACATCGCTTGTTTCAAGGCAGCTGGCTGACACACACCGTTTAAATGTTTAAACTGTGATGTTTAAATATATCCATTTAAAAATGAAAACCAGTTTGGAAGTGAGAAGTCTGGATGAAAGTACTCTCCCTCTTCCAAGACAGACTATGGTCTGATCTTGGGATATCGTCATATTTAACACCCTTTTATTTAAAATTAACTCATGCTGGCGCACTGTAGAAGGCAATGTGTTGGAGATATAAGCATGCGTGTAAAACATCAAAGGGAATTCCCTCCACCCCCCCTTCATCAACAAATAGATTCCTTGGAATTATATTTTAATAGGGTACCAAGTAAGGGAAATGTGTCGTGCACATTTTGCTCTCGCTGGTCTAAATGCAAGTCTGCTTGAATATTTATGCCTAATTGGCAAAGGCAAAGAAATCAGAAACTCCCAGCGCGTTTTTACGTTGAGCGTTGCTTACGTTGAAACAGTGCTCTGCACAAAACGAGTAAGTGACCACAACTGAGCCTCAAAATGTCTGTTGTTAATTGAGGCATTTGTAAAGCGAGTTTTGCCCCATTTTACATCCTTCCTTGGCACCGTGGTTAAGTGGATCGCTGCAGGCTATTGCAGCAGTCATAAATGCAAGTGGGAGGCCAAGGGTCCAAATTTTTATCACGTGACCATGGGGAATGCCACCACAGTCGCATGTGTGAAAAATGGCCATAACACACATTTTTCAGTGCTGTTATAACTTCACTAAACAGTTCACTAAATGAACTGTTGTTAAGTCGACGATTGCCAGTATTAAAAAAATTCAGCTGTTGCTCAGAAACACGGAAGGGGTTTGGACTAGATGATCTACAAGGTCCCTTCCAACTCTGTTATCCTGTATTCTGTTTTCAAATACACCATCTACTCTGCCAGTCTCAGATTTCTTTTATTCTACTAAAATCTTCTGCAAAATGATTTAGTTGTCCATCATGGACGCAGCTACAGTAGCTTATGTTTCTATTTGACGATTCAGTCCTCAAACCAAGCAGCCATCGCCATTCATTTTGGTTTTTAACCTGGAATACAGATTCTTACATCACTGCCACCCAAGGCTCATCCTCCCCTTTTCAAATTGTGCAATTGTTCAGGCAACCGTTCCACATACAGTCAAATAACAAGTTATAAACATCTGTGGGACGAGAGAATCTACTGATAGGGTTCCTGGAACACACCAGAACAAAACACCCCAGTTACAAGATGCCAAATTAAGGACAGGTGTAGAATTCAAGGGAAGAAATAGAAAACAGCCACAAAGGATTTTGTAATTCTCATGCTTCTAATTTAAAAATGAAATAATAGCTTTAAAAATGAAATAATAGTATTACAAATGAAGTACTAAAAATGAAATAATAGCTTTAAAAATGAAATAATAGCATTACATTTATATGCCACCTGACTCCCAGAAACTCTGTGCAATATTACTTTGTAGGAAGAAAAAGTGGCCATAAACTTAACTAGTTAATTAATAACCTGTCAGCCAACATTCACAGGTGTTATTCTCACGTTATTAATTCTTATTCTTATTAATTTCTCACGTTAATACTTGTTCTTATTCATTTCAGGCAGGGGTCTTTCCTAAACTTTTTTTTTATTTTGCTTTGCTTTGTTTGTTTTGCTTGTGTTGTGTTGTGTTTTATTCATTAAATGTACTTGCCACCCACCTCGGTGACTCCGTGAGACTTACAACAACATTAACGTACCTGCAGATTTATTTATATAATTTATATAAGTCACACATGGTGGCTCCAGGCAGTTCACAATATTAAAAATCCACAATATAACACACACACACACCCCTAATCCCAGCCAGGAAACTTCTTAAGCATGGTGGGTATTTGGCCTATAAAAGACAAATGCTCTATCAGCCAGTTTCAGGGGAGGTTGGGCAAGATTTAAATTTAAGACTGATTTATGAAAGCCAGTGAGATACTGAAGTGTAGAGCGAGAAGTTCATGTTGGTGAAAATGCATGTGATTCCAAATTCTCAGGGTGACCATTTGCTGCCAAATGTCAGTTGTTTTGGCTTCTGCAAAACTAGGATGCATTTGTTATCAGCTCTTATGCACGGGCTTATACATAGCTGGCCTCATTCCCTCTCTCCTTCTCCTTAATCAAGATATGCCTTCCTCCGCAGAATGCGAACCAATCTCCAAACTTGGTCAAAGGGTGTATGCCGTCAGGTAAGGCAAAGATTAGACTAATGTGGGTATTGCCACACTCTCGTAGCAGTTAAGAACTGAAATCCAGAATTTCAGAAGCCTCCGCCCTGTATTATATATAATTTATTAATTATATTTCCTTGCAAAGCTCTAGGAACAATTCCTTAGTCCCATTCCCTGGGATTCTGGGAGTTATCTATAATTGAGTTTAAGTTTACACATGTTCACACGTACACAGAGACAGAAGCACAATCATTCTTCCTTTCCTCTCATTTCCATTGTGTTGGTTTTTTTGACTGAAACCTCACTGGGAGATGGAACTGCTTGATAACAACAACAATGATAACAACAACAATAATAATAGCACAAACACCCTAGACACATGGAAATTTTGAACTTATTACACCTGAATAGTCTGACTTTGCAAAAAAAGAACACTTTATTCAGAACTGCTATATACTCAGGCGTTACTTTAACAGGTCTTAGATTCTGGGTTAGGGCTAAGTTTTTACCAGTCCCAGATTGTGAATCGAATTGAAGATTAAAATTATTATTATTATTATTATTATTCCCACTGGACTGCCAAGTTAGTTGTTCCAAGAAGATTGTCCAGATTGACTAACCACTGCATGACAAAATACCAATAATCATGCATTGGAAGATCTGCAAGAAATACCATTTATCTGCAAGCCAGAACCGCTGGGACCACAAAACAGACAAAGTAATCGAAAACAAAGAAGTCCTGGGACTTTAGAAGTCAAACAGACACGCGCCTGCCATACAACCTCCCAGATTGTGTTACTGTGTGGTTATATGTCTATGGAGAGTCCCAATTACCCAGGTCATGGCTGTCCCAAAGCTTCTTTTCTCCAAAAGGCTTTTGTTGTTCTTGTTTTTTTCTTTCTTTCTTTGAAACTGTTTTGCTTCTCATCCAAGAGGCTTCTTAAGTTCTGTGTTGTTGTTAAGTTTTTAGATTGTATGTATACAGTTTCTATCTATGATTCTTGCATCGTTTTTGTGTTGTATACAGTTTTAATTGCTCTGAGCCACCTGGTCAATGTATATGCCGGTAGTCCTCAACTTACAATGGTTCATTGAGTGACTGTTCGAAGTGCCAACAGCATTGAAAAAAAGGGACACTTATGACTGTTGCAGCATCCCTCACGGTCGTGTAATAAAAATTTTAGACACTTGGCTCGTATTTATGACGAAGCCAGATTCGCTTAAGAACCACACTACTAACTTAACAACTGCAGTGACTGAGTTAACAACTTTGACAAGAAAAGTCGTAAAATGGGGCAAAGCTCATTTAGCCAGTTTCTCACTTAGCAACATACCTTTTGGGCTCCATTGTGGTCGTAAGTTGAGGACTACCTGTATCATGGCTCCTATAAAATGAGGACACAGGGCTATGCATATACAGTATGAACTGTTAGTATTTTGAGCACTCAGTCCTGATTCATGCTTGGTGACAATACATTCCCAGGGTGGAGTTGTCTGTATCCAGGGAAAGCATCTACATGAAGCTGGGAAGGAAGGAAGGAAGGAAGGAAGGAAGGAAGGAAGGAAGGAAGGAAGGAAGGAAGGAAGGAAGGAAGGAAGGAAAAAGGAAAGAAAGAGAGAGAGAGAGAGAGAAAAGGAAGGGAGGGAGGGAGGGAGGGGAAGGGGAAGGGGAAGGGGAAGGGGAAAGGAAGGAAGGAAGGAAGGGAGGGAGGGAGGGAAGGAGGGGAAGGGGAAGGGGAAAGGAAGGAAGGAAGAAATGAAGGAAGAAAAAGAAAGGAAGGAAGGAAGGAAAGAAGGAAGGGGAAAGGGAAAAGAAAGAAGGAAGGAAGGAAAAAGGGGGAAGGGGAAGAAAGAAAGAAAGAGAGAGAGAAAGAAAGAAAGAAAGAAAGAAAGAAAGAAAGAAAGAAAGAAAGAAAGAAAGAAAGAAAGATGATAGATAGATAGATAGATAGATAGATAGATAGATAGATAGATAGATAGATAGATAGATAGAGATCTTCACAGCTCAACAAATTGTAAGGCCGCTTTTCCCGCCCCCGGCTGACTGAGTCACAAGCGAGGCAGAGAAGGAAGGCGAATGGGTACCTTGTGCCTGGAGGATGCTGAACTTGAAATCCATTCCAAACCAGACTTATGGGAGGGATGCTCAGGGTCCAGAAACGCCTCCCCTCGGGTGCTTCAGAGGCAGCTCAAGTCTGATGGGTTCCCTGTACGTGGTGATGCCTCTTTGCTCTGAAGAAAGAGGAGGGAGAAAAACCGGAGGGTTTTGAGACGCCATGCTATTCCCTAATCTTTGCATCCTACAAAAGTCACTTACGGGGGAAGTTGCTGCCTGCCCCACCGTCCCCAAGGTTTTCCCCAGGGTCTCCCCTAGACATTCCCACGCAAAGTCTAGTAACTCTAATAACGGTAAAGGGTTTAGGAAGCGTCTTCTGAACGAATCTGAAGAAGGAGGTGCCACCGGAACTGTCCCTACAATAAGAAGGGGTATGGATTCTTCTCTCTTTTTTTAAAAAATGTAAATTTTACTAACAGTTTCAAAAAGGAGATTAAAAACAGACAAAATCGAATACAAAGGGAAGGGAAGGGAACGGAAGGGAAGGGAAGGAAGAAGGAGGAAGAAGGAAGAAGGAAGGGAAGGGAAGGAGAAAGTGGGGAGGGAAGGAAAGGAGGAAGAGAGGAGGAGAGGAAAAGAAAGTAGGAAGAAGGAAGGGAAGGAGGAATAGGGGAGGGGAGGGGAGGAAAGGAAAGGAAAAGAAAGGAGGAAGAGGGAAGGGAAGGAGGAAGAGGGAAGAAAAGAAGGAAGAGGGGAGGGGAGGTGAAGATAGGAAAGGAAAGGAGGAAGGGAAGGGAAAGAAAGGAAGAAGAGGGAAGGGAAGGAGGAAGAGGGAAGGGGAGGAGAGGAGAGGAGAAGAAAGGCCAATCTCTTACTCTATGGGTACAATAAAGCTCTCTTTTTCCCAGCATTTTCTAACCATCAAAACCAGAAATCAAAAAGTTTGTTTTTTTATCCTGCCAAAGAAAGGCCTTAGAAGTCTACAAGGGCAGGGCTTCCAGCCGCAGGTGCCAAGAGGTGGCCACCAGGGGTGGAACGATGGAATGACCCACTCTGGCCATCGGCTGCCTTCAGCTAAAGCCCCAGATCCTTTTCCCGTCACAAGGGCCGAGGAACGGGTTAGCACTGCAATCCCTCTGCTGGCCTGTGGGCCAGGCGAGTCCGCCGTCCTTGGCTTGGCTCAGCTCTGGCTACTTCAAAGCGAGACAGGCCCTTCCTATGTTCAGCATAATTCTTGATAGACATCAGATACACACACACACACACACACACACACACACACACACCCATTTGCTTTTAATTCTGCTAAAAGCGAAAACTGATAAATTGAAAAGGTTTGACTGGAGTTTGGAAAAGCACAAGGGCTCGGAGATGACGGATCCCAGATTTAATCTATAATTTCAACCAGTCCAGATAACAGCAATTAGCTAAAAGAAGCCTTCCCCACGCGGTGCCCTCTGAACTCCAGGCATCCAGAACTCAGTGGCCCACATCCGGTAAGATCCTAAGGCTTCCACACCTATTAGAGGCCTGAATTTCTCTTCTAAAATCGCATTGATTTTCACCAACAATGCTTTCAGTCCTTTGTATGTTGATATTCATTCACTCCTCAATTCAAAATCCCTGGTGAGGCTCAGGATCTGAAAGGCAGTGTTTATATCTCTAGAAAATTATTATTATTATTATTATTATTATTATTATTATTATTATTATTATTATTATTATTATTATTATATCATTTGTGAGATTCACAGCCTTTGGACCTGCTTGGTAGCTCAACAGCTCGAGTCCTAACCAAGGACCTAGGAACTGTTCAGGTAGCATCTGTTCCAAGCAGGGTAGTTTTTTTTGTAGAATCAGGGTATTTAAGTCTGATAAATTATCATCATCATCATCATCACAGAGTCAGCCGGATGTTCAAACTGGGTGTGGCACTTTTCTCTTCCTATCGAGTCCTTACTATGGACCTGGGATAAGCAAATCTGGATTGTTCGATGGTGTTACAGATATCGCCATAGGATAGAAGCTGTTCCAAGTCAAGCTGCCTTCTGCAATTGACTCATGGCAAATTTGTCAATGTCATTATTATTATTATTATTTCATTTATTTATTTATTTTGGAAGAAAATTTTTGATTGCCCTCGCCTGGAAAAGGTGGTGCAAATTCTCAGGGGTTAAAAATTGTGAAAGTTCAAATGATGTTAGAAAGCATTAGAAAAATTCATCCCAAACAACGGAGTCTCCATCCTGGCTAAAACCAATGAAGGTTAAATAGAGTCTAAGTTTTTAACAGCACTACATCTTTGCTCAAGATGTGGTTCCCACGACATTTGGAATACTTATAAAAATAAACTTTTTTTTTTTTGTAAGTTTGAAATCCATGGATACTCTCCCGAGCTACATATATGTAAGCAGGGAACAAATGACAGAGAATCAACCCCAAATGCTTTCCTTCAATTTGGAAACACTCCAACTGTGACACAATTGTGTATCTTCTGTAAAGAATTGTATTAGGGTGAAATAGGTAAAAGAGCAAATAAAGTCTTATTATGCTACCAGCAACCTCCTTTGCGTGAATTTAAACAAATATTGATGTGTTTCCATGGTAATTCCCGTTCTGAATATCCTCCAGTCGTTTTTTTTTAAATAAAAAGGGTTTTTCCTGTTTGTGCTTCAGTTTTAAACTTGTAAATATTTTCTGCCTTAGTGCACGTATCCTTCAGGAAAAGAAAGGAAAAAGGAAAGACCAAAAAGCGAAATTGGCTTTTTTATCTCCCTCCTATCAATAACGGAGTTTAAGAGATGACGACTTAGGACAAGACAGCCTGGTGAAGTTCGAAAAAGAAAACCCCAAAGTGCTATTTTTTTTTTCCAGCCCATCCCATGGGAAAAATCCAATAATCCCAACTGATGCCCTGATAATTAAAGACTGGAATCTTTATTTCAGTCCCCTAAGATAGCTAATTGAAATTAGACCTCCAGCACAAGCGAGTCAACTTTATTTTGCCTTAGAATTCCCTTCTCTTTCCCTCTAGACTTCAACTGGTTTCAAACCAGTATGAGAACAGATCCACCAGTGGCTTGGTACCTCCAGGTAACCTACTTGGAACAGGTAATCTCAGAGACATGGAGTGTCTCCCAGTTCTGAATATTAATCTTTGGCACTCATCCATTTCACCGTGCTTCTCTTTATATTCCATGGGAATGGAGAATTAGCAAATCCCAATTCAAAGCTTTAAGGCAGGTAATGCAGGGATGAGGTTCACGTTTTGGTCTCTGGGGAATGGCGACGAAAGCTTGAGGGGGGCTCAGCAACTAAAACCCCCTACTCTTGGCAGCTAGAGACCCTTCCCCTCCCAACGTTTAACCGTCCTAGGATTCCACCAACGGTGAGGAAGCCGTGGTTAAACAGCCTGGGTTTCCTGGCTGTAACGCACTGGCGCCAGGCTCCAAACATTAGCCTAATGTGTAACTTTGGGGAAGTCAAGTTTCCTTTGGGATTTTAACGTTCTCTGGAAATGTCATATCATCCAGCGAGACTGTTTGTCCAAGAGCGGCTCTTATGTGCACTTGACAGCTCAAAATGAAACCAGGGAATCAAAAGGCCTTCCAGAGGTCATATCTCTGAAATGAGGACTAATTCAATTTAAATGGAATGAAATGAATTTTAGCATGGAAAATATCACCCGCCCCCACCCTCTTTTTTTTTTTTTTTTGCAAACTGTTTAGCTCAAATTATAATCCTATCAGTCCCAAAGGTGCTTTTTTTCCCCCCTCCCTTCTTCTTCAAAAGGCAACTAGGCTTTCCTTGAAGAGGTTTCGCTTCTCACCCGGGAAGCTTCTTCAGTTCTGGAGTCCAGTCCGGTCAGAGCTGAAGAAGCTTCTTGGATGAGAAGCGAAACCTCTTCAAAACAAAGGAAGTCCAGTTGCCTCTTGAAAAAGCACCTGTGGGACCTGGACAACTGAGAATCTCCATAGACATCATCCTTTCGGGTCAAGCCAAATCAGTACAACCAACTGACCATTGGTTAGATGTTGGTGCCAGAGTCACAGCTGAGGCGGGGAGGGAAAGTCATATAGATTATCCTGAAGGTCTTTGCTAAGCCATTTCCTTTTCTTTCTTCCTTTCTTTTTTTCCCCCCGCTAACACAATTTCCCTGGAACACCTTACATGTTTGCAACATGAATCAGCTCTGACTCCTACACAGCTGCAGGAGTGAGGTTCTGTGTTGTATGATTGATCAAGCCTGAAGGCTTTATATGTCTGCCACGGAGGTAGCAGGGATCATATATTTGAACCTTATGTCCCTCTTCCCACCTGTCTATAGAGCAGCTCCCTCACCAAAATCACCTTTTCTTGGTGCACTCAAGCAAATTGGGAGGGTGGAGTAGAGAAGGAGGAACCAAGATAATGTCGAAGTTCTTAAGAGCAAGTTTACTCTGGACTGCCTCTGTCTTTCCTGCCGACAATGGTTGAAAGGAAGCAACTTGGTGAAAGAGTAGGATATACTGTACAGCCCCTGTGCCATTCCAGGAGGGACATGCCTCACCCGCCAGGGACAAACAGACCAGCTCAAAGCAGATTTAGAGAAAAAAATACCAGGGTTGTGGCAGCAGGAGGGGGAGCAATGCTGTTGGCTGAACGGAGACGGGAGCTGTTGTTCGGTTATTTGTTAGGTTGGCATGAAATCACCTTGGCAATATTCAGAAGGGAGATTGGCAAGACGGTTTTGAAGTTGGCACACGCTCGGGAACCTAAACAAGGCATCAGGGCAAGGCACCTCCCTCCTCCTCCTCCCCTCTATATAATTTTCTTTGCTGCTGAAAACGGCCTTTTCAGGAATGGTCAATCACAGTTTCTGATGTTGTTGGATTAGGAGCGCACTGAAAATAAGGGAGGGCTACGAGCATTTGCAACCGTTTACAAAAAACACAGCGTCATTCGGAGAACGCAACTCCTTGGTAAAATCCGAAGATTTAGGTATTACGGCTTCTACTGTCTGGGCTTATCTATCAGCTGTGATTAGCTACGGTAGCTATTGGGGATGAGTTTAAATCTGGAGAAGAGGAGCTAGGGGGTTGAGCCAGACCAGTAGGGGAGAAGCTTTTTTCCTGCAGATTGCGGGGAGAACTGGAAATCTCTGGAGCTACGTCAGACTGCCTTCCATGCCGATTCG